TACATAGTTAACTTATTTACAAAACTAAACTGTATTTAGTTTATGTACTATGTATTAAACTTAACGAAACATAAGTATCCGTTATAACGTTGTGTGAAAAGAGCCTTCAAGGCATTTATAAAATTAATAAACGTTCACTTCTTCAACAGCAAGTTTAAGGTGAGCATCAATATTTAAATAAAATCCCTTTTTATTTAAACACTAATTCCCTTGTGTTTTTTTTTTTCTCTTTTTTCCCCGCACGCTATAACTACACTTTATAATTTCTCATTCCTTGAGAAATTATAAAGTCCTTAAAATCTATTAATCCTGTCCGAGGATTAATATATTCATGGTCCTTCGTCCTTCTCTAATAGTGAACTGGTCGCCTAATCCCTACAGGAAGCTTCACAAGCCTTTGGAATTTCATCCTAAAATAAAACAAAATTGCCGTCGGTAAAACGCAAGTACAAAAACTGCAATGCCAATGTAAGTAAAACACAAAATTTTTATTTATTACTCTCTAAAGTGAAGAAATCTGTGCAAGTGTGTGTGTAAAAAAAATAAAAAATATGTTGAAAAATTAAAATTTTGCCAATAAATTCGAGAAAAAAAATCCAAAAAAAAAAATTTGCCAATAAATTCCAAAAGGAAAAATCTTAAAAAATTAAAAATTTTTTGCCAATAAATTTAAAAGGAAAAAAACCCCTTAATAAATTAAAATTTTTGCCAATAAATAGATGAAAAGAAAAATTTCTCAAAGTTTCATTGTTTGCCAATAAACAACCACTAAAAATAATTATTCTCTTAAAAGTGCAAATTAAAAAGAAAATATCCCTTATTGCTCTTAAAAAATTGCCAGTGAAAGTAAAAAAAAAGCCAAGAAAAAAGTGCAAAAAATAGCCTGTTGCCAAATTTCTATTAAAAATTTAATAAATTCTGGAAAAAGAGTGTTAAAAGTTCCAAAAAATTGTGACGTCAGATTTATTTCCAAAATCGACGTAATACAAAAGCATAATGAGTGAAAAAATTACATTGTATAATAAAAAACAAAACTAAAAAATCAAAGAGTTTAAATGTGACAAAAAACCACCACCATCGATCATCAATAAATATTAAGCAACAATAACAAACATACATTACAGTATGTTTTCAATAAATTGTGAAAAGAAAATAAAGAACAAAAGAAAAAAACGCACAGTGGGCCCGGCGTGAAAAAATATTACTGAAAAATAAAATAATTATAAATATTCAGGAAATATTTTTTGTGTGCATCTACAACAAGTGAACATCAAAATTATTAAAAATTGATGCTCAATAAAATAATTGCTGTGAAAAATACCATCTACATATTTGGAAAAATAATTTATTGGAATATTGATTGTTGCTTTTGAGTATAAATTTTGTGTGGTTTATTTGTTACTTCAAGGAGATAATTTCTCTCTTTATGCATGTATAAATGAGCACAGTGGTCACAGTGAAACAAAATAAATAAAAAATTTTTCTGATCATATAAAAATAAAATCTTATAATATTAAAAGAAAATTTTAGATAATTTTTTGCACTTCTTTATATAAATAATTTTTTAGGTGCTTGGCAATTTGTGATAAACGGAAAATTTTGCTTATAGAAATTAAAGCGAATTAAAAATAAAATTTTAAAAAATTTTTTGGAATGCAAATTTTCGCTTGGCAATTGGTGACAAATTTAAAATAATAAATCATAAATTTAATAAAATAAATTTTCTAAGAAAAAGTTGCTCATGCTATTCCACTGTGAATAAATGTTACAGTGGCGCTTGTTGATAAATGGAAAATTCGATATAGTGGTTTCAGTGTAAAATTTTATTGGAAAAAATAAAATTATATTTTTTTTTTCCAAAAAATTAAAAATTTCTATTTAGCAATCTCTTGCTTTCAAATTATACACACCTGCACAGTGATTAAAACTAAAATTGGTTAAAAAATAATTCTAAATAAAATCATTTTAAATCAAAATTATAAGCAATCGCTTGCTTTAAAGGAAAATTAAAATTTTACGGAAAATTTGCGGCAATTTGATAAAGAAAAATTTCTTTGATTTTAAATAAATCAAGAAATAAATAATAATCGCTTATTAAAAAGAAAAAAAAATATATAATAATAATATAAATCATTATAATTTACAATTTTGCGGCTTTTTACGGCGAGTAACAAGAAAATTACAAGATTTTATGAAAATTTAATCAATATTCAAAAAAAAATATTTGCGCTTACATTTGAGAAAATTATCGAGTCCAACGATAATCGATCAAACTTTTATATATACAAAAAAAAAAAAAAAAAAACATTTTACAGCAATTATTAAGAAAACTACAAATATTTATGGAAATTATTTCCCTTTTACTAACATTATAACATTTTAAACTATTTGAATAACATTTTTTACGCTTTACATTTGAGAAAATTATCGAACTCGACGATAATTAATCAAAACTATACAAAACTTTGAAACTTACTGCTTAAAGAATTTTGCTCACCTATCAATTTTGCTTGTATCTATCTGAGAATTAATCCAAATTAGAAAGGATTTCTCTATTTTCGGTCCAAATTATAAAGGATCTCTAAATTTCGATCCAAATTACAAAGCATCTCTCAATTTTTATCCAAATTACTCTCTCAATCCAAATTACAAAGGATTTCGCTCTTACTCAATCCGAATTACAAAGGATTTATCTCTCTCAATCCAAATTACAAAGGATTTATCTCTCTCAATCCAAATTACAAAGGATTTCGCTCTAACTCAATCCAAATTAAAATAGATTTCTCTATTTTCGATCCAAACTACAAAAGATTTCTCAACTTTAGTCCAAATTTTACTCTTTATCAATCCCAATTACAAAGGATTCTTCTTTAATCTCTTTCTAATTACAAAGAATTTCTCTAAAAGTTCATCAAAAACTACAAAGCTTATCAATTTTTTTTCATATAACAAATTAAAATGACTTCTCTAAATACGCGATTTGCATTTGATGCCAAAAACTTAATTTCATTTTGTAAAAAATGCGATAGCCAAGATATTTTAAGCCAATCTGAGGCACTTATAGATTTAAAACTGAAAGATTTAGACACTCGCTGGAGTAAAGTAGAAAAGTCGTATGAAGATCTAATGCTTTCCGATCAAAGTGAAGAAGTTAAAACTACAGCTCAAGAACAATACGATTCATGTGTTGACATTAGGGATGCCAAACGGGAATTCCCGATTCCCGAAAATCCCGGGATTTTCGGGATTTGAAAGTACCGAAAACCGGGATTTTAAAAAATGAAATCCCGGGAAATTTCGGGATTTTAAAATCCCGAATTTTTAAGTATTTTTCCGCTATTTTATACATTATAAAGTACTAAATAAGAGAATTTAAAAAGTTTTTGGACTTAAGATGACTCTACTAACTTACAAGCTGAAATATCAAAAAAAAAGTAGGAGTGATTCGGCTATGCCTAATATGCTTTTCTATAAACATCAGGGTGATATTACTCATCAAATTTACTGATAGGACATTATATGAGAGGTAGGGTGAATTATTGACCGTTTTTATAAAATTTTTCATAATTTTTTTAGACCAATTTTGGTTCATACACTTTCCGGTAGGAAGATTTACGTTCCTATAAAAGTTTCTTAGCTTTTGGCGAGTAAGAAACTTACTTATCTCAAATTTCATCTCTACACTCGTACTTGTAAGCCAGTAATGAGCGTTAAAGTATTTATCTGGATGGGACCTTATGTAGGGGTAGGGTCAATTATGGACCGAAACACATAAAACTTGGTAGAGAGATTTTGACTCGCATGAAACATATGTGTATCGAATTTCATCGCTATACTCGTATTTTTAAGCCAGTAATGAGCGTTAAAGTAATTTTTTTAACGGGACCTTATATGGGGGTAGGGTCAATTATGAACCGACCCACATAAAATTTGGTAGAGAGGTTTTGGCTCGTCAGGGATTTACGAATATCAAATTTCATTGCTATACTAAATAGGCATAGATACTATCGGATATATAAAAATAACAAGTACGAAATTATAGGCGGGTGAGGCCGACCATATAACCCCATACACCAGTTATGAGAGTAAAATGTAATTTAGTTTTCATAATAAAAGTATACCTCGCCTCCGATATATTCTAGCACTTTATTGTTAAAAAACTATTTTTCTGAAATATGCTTGGGGGAAGGACGCCATCATATGAGTCGATCCTCATAAAATTTGGAGGGCGAATTTACGGTTACATAAAATGTTTTATGCTGAATTTCATTGCGACAGTTCTCTTTTTAAGCGAATTGTGGACACTAATTCTTTTTTAAAGCTGTGTTTTGTATGGGGGCTCGGATCAAAAGCCCGATCATTTCAAATTTCATCAGCGTATTTTAGGAGAGTATAAAACAAAAGCACTACTCCGGAGAAACCCAATATACCATCCCTACTAAGGGTATAAAAAGGGCAATAAATAGGCATTGATACTATCGGATATCTATAATGGAAGTCAACCTTTCAATAAGATGGCGAGAAGATAATTCCCTTGGTTAGTGAACACGGGATATAAGGTGGAGGAGATATAGGTGCAGTACAGGTGCTCTATGTAGCCTCGTATGGATCCCCATTACACATACTATTTAAATATTATTTGGAAACCATTGTAAATTTGGATATCATGGGTATTATTTCAGGTTTTTATTCTACTATTCAGTGCCTAGGATGGAAAGATTTTTATTCTAAGTATGTACTTTGAATTAATTTGTTTTTCTTTTCACAAAATGCTTATTGGAAAGTAAACACCTACTAAGAGTATTCATATTGCAATATGAAATAAAACATTTTATTTTTGTCGGTAAATTATTAAGATTTTTTGAATTTTTTTTTATATTTTTCGGGATTTAGAAATCCCGAAAATCCCGGGATCCCGATATCGGGATTCCGGGATTTATTTAAAAATCCCGAATCCCGGGATTTCTAAAAACCAGTCCCGATTGGCATCCCTAGTTGACATGTCAAGAGATAGTATTGCTCGCGCTAGTATAGATTCAGCCCCATTGAACACATCTAATGATCGGTTAAGTACAGGTCTTAAATTGCCCCATGCGATACTCAAATATTTTCAGGAGGTTATGAGGACTGGCCGGCATTTCGTGATATGTTCACGGCAGTCTACATTAACCACCCAAGGCTAACTCTCGCGGAAAAACTTTATCATCTTAGAAATAAAACGACTGGTTCAGCTGGAGCAATACTAAAAAGATTCCCTTTAACCGACAATAATTTTCCTCTAGCTTGGCAAGCTCTTAAGTTGCGATATGAAAATGTTAGAGTTTTAGTCGATAATGAGTCCCTACAAAGAATTCATAGCTCAGTAACTGACTGTTTATCTATGCTTGATACAATGGGTATATCAGTGAAAGGCTGGGATCCCATTTTAGTCAATTTAGTATATTCTAAATTACCCAACGAAACATTGGCTCAATGGGAACAATCATTAAACGCCAGTAGAGAGTTACCAACATGGTCTCAATTAAGTGATTTTCTACTTGAACGATGTGAAGTCGTAGAAAGAATTTCCACTATCAAAGTGAACAAATCTGCTTTCCTTAATCAAAATGAAACCCATTCACAAGTTCAAATGTACTCATCCCAAGAAAAACTTAATTACAAATGCAAAATGTGCGATGAAGATCACAGTTTGAGAACTTGTTCGCAATTTCGTAAGCTTTCAATTCAAGAAAGAGTTGATTTCATTTTCAAGAATAAGTTTTGTAACAATTGTTTGTCACAATCTCACACGAAAAAGAATTGTATAAGCAAAAATTCTTGTTTAAATTGTGGTAAAAAACACCACACATTACTTCACATGCGTTCTTTTAATCCTCCTCGAAATAGCTCAAATCAAACATGTCCAAACAAAAACGATCAAAACATAAAATCTGATCCAAAAACGACAAATTCTAGATCCGTTGAGTCAAATGAATCTGAAAGGGGTCCAACAACCTCAAATGCTCACAAAACTTCCCAAGTTAATGCGAATTATGCCATGAGTGATACTAAAGTCTTGTTACGAACTGCAATGGTTCAGATAGAAAGCAGAGGGGAATTATTCTCGATTAGAGCTCTCATTGACCCAGGTTCTGAAAGGACCTTTATATCCTAAAAAGTTCGAAATCGTTTAAATATCCCATCTAGAAGATCATACTGCGAAATAATAGGAGTTGGCGGTCAAACTCAAGTTTCAGAAAAAGAATGTGATTTAGTTTTGGTCTCGCACAAATCCAATTTTCGTTTACCCGTAACTGCTATCGTTTTACCTAAAGTCACGAATAAGATTCCCTCGGTTTCCTTTGAACTCCCTAACCCAATTGAGCTTTCTGGTATTGACTTAGCTGATCCAAATTTTAATATATCTTCCTCGATCGATTTAATCCTCGGAAATGACATAAATCTTGATGGCATTAAACGAGATGTATGTGGCTCTGCTTCTGCATATAGAACGGTTTTCGGATGGGTACTTAGTGGCCCCGTGAAGACTCAGCCAATATACTCGTTTTCAACATGCGTTGGTTCCACTGAAGACTTTACCTTGGATGAAATAGTTCGGAAGTTTTGGGAGCAGGAAGAAATTCCATCAACCCGGCCAGCTTCTTCAGAGGATGAATATTGTGAAAAATTTTATCAACAAACCACAACACGCTTACCAAATGGACGATATATGGTCAGATTGCCATTTCGACAGGAGTTCCCGGAATCAAGGTTTCTTGGCCCATCAAGATTTATCGCTCTTAGTCAATATGTTCGGATGGAACAGATGTTGGAAAAAGATCCCGCGTTAAGCACTCAATATAACGACGTGCTCACTGAGTATATAACCCTCGATCATATGGAAGAAACAACTTCTCGTGAGTACTTTTCGGTAAATAAATGTAACTCCTTTTATCTCCCTCATCATGCAGTCGTAAGACCAGAAAGTAAATCTACGAAGGTTAGGGTTGTTTTCAATGCTTCCCGCAAAACTAAGTCAGGGTTTTCATTAAACGACGTTCTTTATACTGGCCCCACACTTCAAGCTGATCTGATGACAGTGATATTAAATTGGCGTTTTTACAAATTTGTTTTCAGCGGTGACATACAAAAAATGTATCATCAGATATTAGTCAATCCCCAAGACAGGCCGTTTCAGAGAATACTCTTCCAAAAATCCCCCCGGGAGGCCATCAAAGATTACCAGTTAAAGACTGTTACATTTGGTATAAATTGTGCACCATTTTTAGCCATTAGGACATTAATTCAGTTAGCGTCTGATTCCGAAGATAAGTTTCCCAAAGCAGCTGATATATTACGTAGAGAAACCTATGTAGACGATATTCTAACTGGTGGTCATTCTCTCGAAGAGATTATAAAATCCCAGAAAAAGCTGGTGCAAACTCTAGAATCATCTTTTCCCAAAGAAGATCTTCTGATTCTGATTTTCTCAAATTTCATGATTCCAGTGCTACAAAAACTCTCGGTATTCGCTGGAACGCATTGACTGATTCGTTCACATATACTTTTGAATCTATTCCTCAAGAAACAAAAATAACCAAACGCAAAATCGTATCTTCAGTAGCCAAATTGTTCGATCCAGCTGGCTGGATATCACCCGTAGTCATTAAAGGCAAAATTCTTATTCAGCAATTATGGCTTGAACGAATCGATTGGGATGATTTTGTCAGTACAGATTCTCTCCGAATCTGGAATGAAATCGTAAGCGATCTCTCGCATATAAATGAAATCCAAATCCCTCGTTGGATTCAGTTCACTCCCGTTGATACTATTCAAATTCACGGATTCTGTGATGCCTCCAAATTTGCGTATTGTGGAGCAGTATATATTCGAATACAAACATCTTCTCCTGTCGTCTTTTCGCATTTGCTAGTTTCCATAAGTAAGGTTGCTCCATTAGCATCTACAACTTTACCTCGGTTAGAACTTTCGGGCGCAGTCATGCTAGCAAAATTAGTACAATATACGATATCTTCCCTTAATATGGAAAATCACAAAATCATTTTATGGTGTGACTCATCGATTGTTTTAGGATGGCTAGCTAAGCCACCTTCGACCTGGAAAGAATTCTATGTTTCTAATCGTGTAAGCCTAATCCAAAAACTACTGCCAAATGCAAAATGGCGCCATGTTCCAACTCATTTCAATCCCGCTGATCTAGGTTCCAGAGGATGCAGACCACAGGACTTAATCAACAACCAACTTTGGTGGCAGGGCCCACCATGGCTTACAAACCCGGTGTCGGAATGGCCACAGAACAATCCGTTGAATACCACGAAATCTCCCGAAATTTCTATTCTTAAACAAACAGAAACCCAAAGCTTAACTGTTCCCATCAGTAGCTTTCAAACTACAGTCTCTCCCGTACACATTCTCAAAAGATTCTCTCCTACACGAGGTCGTTAAGAGTTCTTGCATATGTTTTTCGATATATTCGGCGTTTTAAACCTTCGTTTGCCAATCAAACCAACAACTTAGCTAATAACAATTCTCAACTCAGTCAACAGGAAGTCAATTCTGTAAAGTCCAGATTAATAATGTTAGCTCAGAAGGAATTCTACCAGCGTGAATATGAATTACTCTCTGAAAATCAGCCCATTATGCCCATATCCGCTCTCTCTGAAGACCCAGCTGATCTTAACGCGTTGACCCCAGGACACTTTCTCCGTGGCGGCCCAATTTTGGCTTTACCAGATCCAAACTATCAAAATCTTTCCCTAATAAATCGATGGGAAAAACTAAAAGCAATTAACCAAAAACTTGCAATCGAATGGAAACAAGAATATTTAAAGTCACTCCATAAGAGATATAAATGGAAGTTTTCCACATCTAATTTAAAAATAGGAGATTTTGTAGTGGTAATTGACGATCTTCTACCACCATGTGAATGGCGTTTAGGCAGAATAGAAAAAATACACAGCGGTTGCTATAATTATGTTCGAGTAGTTGATGTTCGTACAAAAGGCGGCATCATCACTCGTCCCATCACTAAATTATGCTATCTGCCATATAATAACGTTCAAACTAGCGACTAATTACTTACTAACATTGTTTATCCCACATTCCTATATCATATCATAACCGTTTCTCCCATTTTCATTCTCATTACTTTTTAAATCAACATTACTCATACGTTTTCTCCTTACAGCATGCGAGATCAATCACCCAGAGACCCAACAGTGCACCAGTGCCGACTCTGTGACCGTTACCACTCGCTACGGTTCTGCCGGCGTTTTTTGGCGATGGAGTCAGCAGAGCGTTTTACGGTGGCTCGGCGGTATGAATACTGCCTCAATTGTTTGTCCAGAACGCACAATGTTTACAGTTGCGATAGCCCCGATACCTGCATGTATTGCAGTCGGCTACACCACACGCTCCTTCACCCAAGCCGTCATCCCCGAGTCACTGCACCAGAAGGCAGTGTACAGAATAGACTGGGCGAACGTCAACTGGTCCGTCCAAGCCGCCGGGACTACCGCCATCGTGCAAACCCTCATCGCCGTCGACCTATCAATCATCAACCTCACCGTACCACCAGCACACATCATCAACGTCATCGCACCATCATCACCCACCGTCGCCGTCCCACCAACAACACCGTCAGAACCAGCCAACGCTATCAAGTTGCCAGCCCCAGCACCAACACTCGTCGCTCCAACAACACCAACACTCGTCGCTCCAACAACAACAATAACAACACGTCACCTACCATGCCCAACCTGGTCATCTCGGAGGCCATTCGCTCCCTAGCAGCCGTACTATGCGTTTCCCACACAAACAACTAATTGCCCAAGTGCAATGAGGGGCGCCATGTCCAAATTAGCATCAAGAATTGAATTGTATTGAATTTATTTTAGTTTGAATTTTTATTATTATTATTATTATTATTATTATTATTATTATTATTATTATTATTATTATTATTATTATTATTATTATTATTATTATTATTATTATTATTATTATTATTATTATTATTATTATTATTATTATTATTATTATTATTATTTCATTATTACCTAATTGAATTTATATAAAATGAATTATTAGTTTGTAAGCTTTTCCCTTTTTTGTTCTATTTGAATTTAAATACATTTGTAAACCCTAGTTTATATACATAGTTAACTTATTTACAAAACTAAACTGTATTTAGTTTATGTACTATGTATTAAACTTAACGAAACATAAGTATCCGTTATAACGTTGTGTGAAAAGAGCCTTCAAGGCATTTATAAAATTAATAAACGTTCACTTCTTCAACAGCAAGCTTAAGGTGAGCATCAATATTTAAATAAAATCCCTTTTTATTTAAACACTAATTCCCTTGTGTTTTTTTTTTTCTCTTTTTTTCCCCACACGCTATAACTACACTTTATAATTTCTCATTCCTTGAGAAATTATAAAGTCTTTAAAATCTATTAATCCTGTCCGAGGATTAATATATTCACTACGATTTTTTCTAGAAGGTCAACCGAATAGTGAAATATTTCACAAAATCTTGCAATGTACTGAACAGTTGATTTTCTAGAAAAAAAAAAAAAATAGAAATATCTTGCAAATTTCTAAAAAGTCAACTGAATAGAGATTTGTTTTTCAAAGTTAACCAAATAGTGAAATATTTCACAAAAACTTGCAATTTACTGAATAGTTGATATTTTAGAAACAGTTTTACATTGAGTTACAAATTTTAAAAATACAAAGATTTCTCAAAATATCTATAAAAAGTTGAAATATCTTGCTAATTTCTAAAAAGTCAACTGAATAGTGAAATATTTCACAAAATCTTGAACATTACTGAATAGTCGATTTTAGGACATTTTTCTACGATTTTTTCTAGAAAGTCACACAAATAGTGAAACAGTTGATTTTCTAGAAACAAAAAAAAATATGTTGCCAATTTCTAAAACGTCATCTGAATAGAGACATATTTAACAAAATCTTCGAATTTTGTCAACGATTTATTTTAGAAAGTCCACAAATAGCGAAATATTTCACAAAATCTTGCAAGTTACTGAACATTGATATTCTAAAAAAAGTCTATCATTCATGCAAATAAAAAAACAAAGATTTCTCAAAATTTCTATAATAATTTCTAAAAACTCAACTGAATAGTAAAATATTTCACAAAAGTAGAAATATCTTGCGAAATTTATGAAAAGTCAACTGGATAGTGAAATATTTTACAAAATCTTCTAAGTTTGTCAACGATTTTTTCTAGAAAGTCAACCAAATAGTGAAATATTTCACAAAATTTTGCAATGTTCTGAACAGTTGATTTTTTAGAAACAAAAGTAGAAATATCTTGCAAATTTATAAAAAGCCAACTGAATAGAGATATATTTCATAAAATCTTTTTCTTTTGTCAACTATTTTTTCTAGAAAGTCACCCAAGTAGAGAAATATTTCACAAAGTCTTACAATTTACTGAAGAGTTGATTTTCTAGAAATAGTCTTACATTCAGATACAAATTAAAAAAAATGCAAAGATTTCACAAAATTTCTATAAAAATTAAAAATATCTTTCAAATTTCTAAAAACTCAACTGAGTATTAAAAATCTAGAAATATCTTGCAAATTTATGAAAAGTCAACTGGATAGTGAAATATTTCACAAAATCTTGCAATTTACTAAATAGTTGATATTTTAGAAACAGTCTTACATTCAGTTACAAATTTTAAAAATACAAAGATTTCTCAAAATATCAATAAAAAGTTGAAATATCTTGCTAATTTCTAAAAAGTCAACTGAATAGAGACATATTTCACAAAAACTCAACTGAAGAGTAAAATATTTCACAAAAGTAGAAATATCTTGCGAAATTTATGAAAAGTCAACTGGATAGTGAAATATTTCACAAAATCTTCCAATGTTCTGAACAGTTGATTTTTTAGAAACAAAAGTAGAAATATCTTGCAAATTTCTAAAAAGCCAACTGAATAGAGATATATTTCATAAAATCTTCTATGTTTGTCAACGATTTTTTCTAAAAAGTCACCCAAATAGTGAAATATTTCACAAAATCTTGCAATTTACTGAATAGTTGATATTCTACAAACTATCTTACATTCAGATACAAAATTTAATAAAATGCAAAGATTTCTCAAAATCTCTATAAAAAGTTGAAATATCTTGCAAATTTCTAAAAAGTCAACTGAATAGTAAAATATTTCACAAAAGTAGAAATATCTTGCAAATTTCTTAAAAGTCCACTGAATAGTAAAATATTTCACAAAAGTAGAAATATCTAGCAAATTTCTAAAAAAGTCAACTGAATAGAGAAATATTTCACAAAAGTAGAAATATCTTGCAAATTTCTAAAAAGTCAACTGAATAGAGACATATTTCACAAAATCTTCGAATTTTACCAACGATTTCTTTTACAAAGTTAACCAAATAGTGAAATATTTCACAAAATTTTGCAATTTACTATAAAGTCACTAAATCTATCATTCATGGAAATTAAAAAAAAAACAAAGATTTCTCAAAATTTCTATAACAATTTCTAAAAAATAACTTGCAAATTTCTAAAAAGTCAACTGAATAGTAAAATATTTCACAAAATTAGAAATATCTTGCAAATTTCTAAAAAGTCAACTGAATAGAGACATATTTATGTCATGAATGATAGAATTTAGATTTAGTGACTTTATAGTAAATTGCAAGATTTTGTGAAATATTTCACTATTTGGTTAACTTTGTAAAAGAAATCGTTGGTAAAATTCGAAGATTTTGTGAAATATGTCTCTATTCAGTTGACTTTTTAGAAATTTGCAAGATATTTCTACTTTTGTGAAATATTTTACTATTCAGTAGACTTTTTAGAAATTTGCAAGATATTTCAACTTTTTATTGATATTTTGAGAAATCTTTGTATTTTTAAAATTTGTAACTGAATGTAAGACTACTTCTAAAATATCAACTATTTAGTAAATTGCAAGATTTTGTGAAATATTTCACTATCCAGTTGACTTTTCATAAATTTGCAAGATATTTCTAGTTTTTTAATACTCAGTTGAGTTTTTAGAAATTTGAAAGATATTTCTACTTTTTATAGAAATTTTGTGAAATCTTTGCATTTTTATACCCTACACCACTATAGTGGGGAGGGTATTATGCGTTTGTGCTGATGTTTGTAACACCCAAAAATATTGGTCCTACACCCACCTTAAAGTATACCAATCGACTCAGAATCACTTCCTGAGTCGATTAAGCTATGTCCGTCTGTCCGTCCGTCCGTCCGTCCGTCTGTCTGTCTGTCTGTGTGTCCATGTAAACCTTGTGCGCACTCTACAGGTCGCAATTTTTGAGATAATTTGATGAAATTTGGAACATACACTTCTCTTGGTCCAAGGACGAACGCTATTGAAAATGGTTGAAATCGGTCCATTATTTCACCTAGCCCCCAT